GATATTTCACTCAATATAATGTCCTCCAGGGTCACCCACTTTGTATAATGTTTTATGAATTCCTTGTTTTTCAATGCTGTGTATTCAATTGTGTGAATATATGACAGCTTCTCTATCCATTCATTTTTTTGATGGGCACTTGAGTTGCTTCTTTCATCTCTTTGCTATTGTGAACAACACAGCAATAAACATAGGTGTGCATCTTTTTAATCTTAAATTCATTCATTGTTGCACAGTTTCCTCTCTCTTTCCCTTCTCCTCCCCTTCCGCCATTCTGCTTTACAATATATCTTTTATTCTGGACTGTTGTCTTATATATAATGACTAATCATATATTCTTTTTAAACAGTTCTCTCCCTCATCTGCTGCAATAGAGTGTTCATTATCCAATCTTTTCTTATCCAACCTGCTTCACAGTGATACCTGCCATTTGATAGATGGAGAAAAGATTGATACTGTCAACAATTTAATCTTGCTTTGATTCACAATCAACACCTTTGTTACTAGTAGTCAGGAAATCAGGAGACATATTACCCTGAGAAAGTCTGCAGTTAGGGACCTGTCCAAATTATTGAGAAGTAATGATATCAGTTTGAAGACTAAGGTGCATCTGTCTCAGGCCCTGCTCTTTCTGATCACTTGTTATGCATCTGAAAGCTGGACAATGACTAAGGATAACAGAAGAATAATTAATGCCTTTGAGCTGTCATGTTAGAGAAGAGTATTGAATATCTCGTGGACTGCCAAAAGAACAAACAAGTATGCCTTGGAGAAAGTGCAATCAGAGTGCTCTTTGAAGGCAAAGAAAGCTTCACCTCACTTACTTTGAGCCTGTTTCTAGAAGGGGTTATTGCTTGGAGAGGGACATGTTGCTTGGAAAGGTCACGAAGGAGAGGAAGACCCTCACCCAGGATGATCGACATGGCGACTGCTGCAATGGGCTCTAGTGTGTCAAGAAGTGTGAGGATGGCACAGGACAGGACAGGTTTCAGATCTTTTGTTCATAGGGTCGCTATGGGTCATACTCATCTCGGCAGCACCTTACAACCACCACCAGCACCACCACCTGCATTGATCGTCTGGCCAAGCCAGCAGCCAGGAATCATCCCAGTCATCACGCCTTCTCCCCAGTTCATCTAATTTGGCACCTAGGTCTGTTGATTCTTTCCTCATAACCTCTCAAATGTGAACCTTTTTATCAATACTATTGGTTCTAGTCTTTCAAGTTATCTGGCTTTAATTCTTTTCCTCTCTAACCTACACACTACACAGTAATCAGAGAGGTCATTGCTAAAGTGCAGATCTGGTTATTGTTGTTAGGTGCTGTCGAGTCTACTCTGACTCATAAGGGCCCGATGTATAACAGAGCTAAACCTTGTTTGGCCTTGCGCCATCCCATCCTCACAATCTTGTGTTTCAGGCCCTGATGCAATCACTGTGTCAGTCCATCTCATCAGGGGTCTTGTTCCTATTTCAAGTTCTTCATCAGCTCCCAGCTGTATATAGGACAAAACCCAAACTCACTTGGATGACTCTGGGGGATCTTCTAAATCTAACTTTTCTCTACTTTTCCAGTTGCTCTTTCACAATTTCATACAGTGCCTAAGCCCTATTGGTAGCTGGCACTTAGCTCTTGTTACAAAGTAAATACTTAAGGAACATTGTTGTTACAGGCAGTTTCTTCTGCCTCACTCAGTCAACTCTTTATTGAGTCATGTATTTGCCATGCAGGGCCCACCACAGGACCTTCGCACATGCTGTTGTGTCTGGAATACTCTTCTTCCTTTTAAAAATGATCAATTTAACCCCTTCTCATTATTCACATTTCAACTTAAATGTCCTTCCAGGAACTCTTTCCTGACTCTCTCTTTTTATTTTTATTTTATTTTATTATTTTTGTGTGCGTGTATGTCAAATCAGATCTGACTGGTACAGGAGGAGATTGTCCCTTCTTCCCCGGCAGAGCATCTGGTGGATTCGAACCGTTCGCCTCTGGGAGTGTAGTTGCAGCTCCTTACCACTAGGGACTCTCTCCTTTTATAAACTCTCATAGCACCATGGGAGCACTGGCAGCCTAGTGGTTAAGAAGCTGAGCAGCAATCCTGAAGGCACACAGTTGAAATCCACCGTGAGTCTGCTCATGGGAGGAAGATGGGCAAGCTCTTCTGGTGCAATTTATGGAAAACCCCCTGGAGGGTCAGCTGTGGGTCAGTTCCAACTCAGTGGTACACAAAACAACAACAACAACAACAACAAAATAGCACCATGTACATTTCCTTGGTAATACTTCTCATGACTCTGGGCAGTCTCACCTTTATTTGTGGGATCACAGACAGCCTGTAAATGCTATGAGGAGAGAAACTGAAACTCCTGTATTCTGCTACATCTCGGTGCCTGACAGAAATGACTGGAGTGAGAATACAATGAAGAAGAGCAGAGTTTGGAAGTTGGAGATCTTCAGTGGATTGTTGGTGTAGTTCAGGAATAAGTGGTACGTAGGACTGGGGCAGGAGCTAGGGAATTGGAGAGGAGAGGAATAAAATATATATGGATTAGACCAGAAGAAACTAATTGGTGGATCAAGATGGGGGAGGGGTTGTGAATGGGAAGGAAGACCCTGGCTGCTGTCAATAATTGGGGTGTAGGCAGGCAAGTAGTATCGGATGACATGTTGAGCAGCTAGATGCAGTCCTCCTCTCCATTAAGATTTACTGCCTTGGACACCCAGTGACAGGTCTCTGGAATCCGGGTTGAGGCAAGTGGGAGGAGAAGCACAGGTAAGGTCAGACCTGAAAAGGAGCTATGTTTTGGGGTGGAGTTCACGGATGATATGCACAACTGAGATGCTCAGCTGCTAACCAAGAGGTTACAAGTTCAAGTCTGGTCCACTCAAGAGGTGCCCTCAGAAGAGTGCCTTGAAGATGCACTTGTGAAGAACCAGCCATTGAAAACCCTCTGGAGCACAGCTCTGCTCTTTCACACGTGGCTGAAATCATGAGTCAGTGTTGACTCAACAGTAAGTGGTTGTATGGTTTAGGGCAGAGTGACTATGATGTTATGCTGTGACAGGCGAGTGATGATGTCTAGACGTACACAGTTTGGAACAGGGAAGCTCTGGGATGGGAATTGGCGGGGGTTAGAATTTTGAAGGATGAAGAGGATAGAACCAGAGGAAAGGACACTCACTAAAGAAAACAGAAAGAGGAAAGGAAACATCTCTGTTCGTAGCTGCCTCATGAGGGAAGAATGGGTGGCCTCATTGCCAGCCTCCTAGGATAAGTCTGACGCTAAGTGAGATAATATAGGTCAAGTCCTTAGCAAATAACCTGGCATGATATAGAGGTTCAAGAACTCATCATCAAGATACTTGACGACATTTCTAAGCTGAACTCAGGAACTTCAAATAACCAGAATCTTACATAATTGAATACCTGGCCTGAGGACTAGACAGTAATCACACCTGTGTCAATTCCTAGGGCTTCCCAGGTCAGTCCACGGAGCCCAAGAAGAACGCAGGCATTCAGGAGCTGGAGCAGCCTGGGGTTGGCATGGGGGCCAGCCATCTTGGCACTTGGGGCCTAGCTAGCTGACACCTGAGACATCTTAAGCCTGGGGGCTTCCTTGCAGATACTGAAAGATGGGTTTGGGTTGGGACATACCTCCTGTGGAGTCCCCCAGGCAGGATTCCCTTAGGATCCCTTCTGTCTCTAAACTCTCCATTCCCACCCTCATCTGTCTGTTCCCATCCTCACTTGTCTGATTTTACTACATCAAATAGGACCAAGAGAAAAAGCTGTTCCTGAGAAGTTAGTGAGGAGGGAAAGCTCACCCTCCAGAACTCCACACTTGTCTTGTGTATTTGTGGGAAGGACTCTTACTGAACAAGAATGTGTTTCTTGGGTGAAAAATGAAGAAGACCAGTGACTTCCCCCACCCCCCAAGATGGCGCTGGCCAATCAATATGGTGGAAAATCAATATGGTCATTGGAAAAACCACATGGGCTGTCTAGGGACCTTGGTGTAGCTGCAGGAGTGAGTGGGTGAGCTGGGGCCTTAAGGCGTCTGCTTAATCTGACTCTCACAAGCTCTGTAAGGCCTGAATAGAGCTCATACTCTTAGCCTCTCTACCTTATCTTCCATCATCACAGCCCAGCCCTGACACTGCACTGAGAAGAACCGCCCTGCATGGCTTGGAGCAGCCCCCAGTTTCCCAGACAGTAAGGGACAGGTTTGCTTAAAGGGTTCCTGTGAGAGGTCTGGGCCACTTTGGAGTTCAGATCATTCTTTTTTTTTTTAAATTTGTTATTAATTTCAATGAAAAGTTACAGAGACTTTGGATTTCCATTCATTCATTGTTGCACTCCTCTCCCCTCCCAACCCCAGTACACTCTCCTCTTGGAAAAGTAAAATAAAAATTCTTTCATTATTTTACAATCCCTCCTCCAAGTCCACTCCACTATGCAGCCTTTGCTCTGGACTCCTGTCATGACAAAAATACCTAATCACATATCCCTTTTAAACAGTTTTCTCCCTCATCTATTTCAATGCAGTATACATTACTGAACCCATCTTTCTCAGTCTCCCCCCAATCCCGATGTCAGTCCTGTTTTACAACAGTGGCACTATGCAGTATTTGTCCTTTTGTGACTGAGGTACCTCGCTCAGCATAATGTCCTCCAGAGTCATCCATTTTGAATAATATTGCATGAGTTCCTTGTTTTTCAATGCAGCGTAGTATTCCATTGTGTGAATATACCACAGCTTCTCTATCCATTCATTTGTTGATGGGCACTTAGGTTGCTTCCAACTCCTTGCTACTGTGAACAAAGCTGCAATAAACATGGGTGTCAGACCATTCTTTTGAGAAGTGTCCTCTTGCCCTGCCCTGGAGGGGCTGCCGGAGTGTGGGCTGAGGTAGGTATGTGGTATGTTCTCGAGGCCCTGGAGGGTCTTCTGTGACTGTCCAACAGGCTTCCTGAGGTCTCTGCTTCTTTCTGCAGTCCCGAGGGAGCGTGCAGCAGGGGGACCTGGACGGGGCCCGGAGGCTGGGCCGCCTGGCCCGGCTCCTCAGCATCACCTTCATCTTCCTGGGGATTGTCATCATCATTGTGGCCGTGACTGTCAACTTAACAGGTGAGGCCCACATGTGCACAGGTGAGGCACGGCAGGAGAGGGAGAATGCTTTAGTGGTCTGAGGACCACCTGAAGGGGTAGTCTGTCCCCCAACCCTGGTGTAAGGGGCCATGAAGGGGGAGGTAGGAGCATACCGGGCCCACAACCTAATCCTCTCACTTCACTCACGTCCCAAGGCCCCAGCATGACCAGCTGGACAGGGATCGGTCTTCTGACTTGTTTCATGTGTGGAGAGCAGAGGACTAGGAAAGAGTGTAGAGAGAGCACAGACAGATCTTAGGAGTCAGAGGACAGGAGCTCCAGTTTCAGCTGTGACGGCTGTGTGACCTGGCAAGTGTTCTGTGTGGCTCAGCCTTGGTGTTTCATGTGTAAAAGAGTCCAAAGCGGCCTTCAATACAAACGGTCTTATGCACATCACCTGAGATTGACTTTAGTTCAGCTTTGAAAACAGTGGGCTTGACACATTAACAGCTATGCTGAGGAGCCCAAGACATGCTGGAAGTAAAGAATACACAGAGTAGAAGACTGGAAGTAACAATCAGTCTCAATGACCTAGTGAAGTTACCCAAGCACGGAAACCACCTTCAAAGGGAGCTCTCAGTTGCTCATAGTCTCTGGATCCATGCAGGTGAGAGCTAGCCACTCACTCTCCACCTTTTCACATTCACACTGTGAGGCTCTTTAGCATCTCTGCCATTTTAAGTAATCAGCCTAAACTTTCCCCTAAAGACATCACAACTCAAGATGTGGTCATAGACCTGCATTGTGGAATCACCACACAACTTGTTAGAAATGCAGACTGTTGGATCTCACCTCAGAATCTGTTTTGTGATTCAATTAGAATCTGATTTAAGATCCCCAGATCACTCAAAATAGTTCCAGCGGCACAAGTCTTAGAGGGTGGAGTGCCCTCATTTGGGAAGAAGACCTGGGCTTAGCGATGGTCCACAGGCATCCTTTTACCACTTGAGCGGGTTAAGTTCCTGGTGTGAACTGGAGCAAGTTCAAGGCAGGTCTTAGTCTCCTCCATTGGTGCAGAGTCTGATAAAGGAGGTATAGCCCAGCTACACCCTCAGTATCACTCTATGATACCTCTGAGTCCATAGTTTTTGCTGAGGTTTGTAATTTCAGGCAGGACCCTTTTGATGGCAGTGAAAGGCAAAGGGAAAAATTATTCAAGCATAGATGGCCGTATCTTCAAGAATGGCTGTGTCTAGGTGCCCAGACTATGTTGACACAAATCCTTCTCACTCTCTTAAACTTGCTTTCTCCTGTGTTAGCTTCTTTCCTGGATAGGCTGATCCTATATTATAGAATATTCTACAGATTTTTATCAATCTCGTAACAAAGCAAGGGGGGAATACTGTCTCTATCAAAAAATTATAGCAAAAGCCCCAGGGCTGATTCTGATTGGTCCAGTTAGGGTCACATGTCCTCATCTAAGCCAATCACCATTATAGTTCTCTCGCTGGCAAGAGTTCAGTTCTACTATGAGCCCAAAGACACCTTTATCCTGTACTTTATTCCTGTTACTGTTTCTTACAAGAAAACACCATCTTAAGTCCCCAAAAAGCGACTATAAAGATGGCACACCTAATGTTCTGAGCTCTATGCTATTTTTTTTCTTTACAGTTCAGAAGAAGTAAGATTAACCAGGGAGCTGTCTAGCTGAGGCCAGTCCTGGCCAGCTGAGGAGCTCTGAACCCACACACCCCACATGCCACAGAGGACAGGCTGGAGTTCTCCAAGCCCTGAATGGTGACTGCCAAGTGCCTGCCTGTCCCCACTCACCAAAAGCACAAATTTGGAGGGAAACTCCCAAGTCACCCCTTATCAGCCCAGAGCAGTCGGGGAAAGGAAGAAAGGAAAGGAAATTGACTGATGAACCTGTGAATGATGTGGGGACACCTCATGAACACTTCCTAGCATTCTGACCCCCGTGTCTGGCTCGTTTCTCACACCCACCATTTCCTGGGGTCTACCAAGCAGCATAAACTGCCAGAATGAGAAGAAACCAGCCCCATTAGGAAGATAAATGATAAAGGGAAAAGAAGCAGGAAACACCCTGTCTATCTGTGGACCAAGAACATGAATGTGGGACTTTAATTTTTGTATTTTTCTTGAGGGGTCGCAAAGACTGCTTGCATGCCTGTGCCACATGCCCACAGCAACCTCAGTCCATGCCCTGAGCTCAGAGAACAGAGGCCAGGCGGCCACCCTGCCCAAGCTCTCTCAGCATGAGGTCCCCATCTCAACATGGAGCCACTGAGAGGTATGCTAGTGGGGGAAAGGGTGGACATCTCCAAACTTTTCAGCTTTGAGAAGTACATCTACTGAAGACTCTGGTCTCAGCTGTGTCTGCTGGGACTGCCAGCCTGCCTCTTGCTCCCTGCCTGTGCTGAAGCCTGGGAGCCCTCTAGGAACTCCCACTTGATTTGGCCAAGGTGGCCAGTGTGGAGGGACCCTGGCCTGGAGTGCAACTTGAGGTCTGAAAGCAGGGTTGCTCAGATAGGGCATAGGCTCTCAGTGTCCAGCCTAGCCCCATCTGATACTTTCATGACCCTGGTGGCCTGTAGCTTTGACCCCTGGCCACTTCTGGAAAACAACAGCCCTTCTGGAAGAAGGTCCTTCTGGACTATCATAAGAGGGCTTTCCACAGGCTTCTAGGCTGTTAAGGCTGTTTGTCTGCAGAGGAGATGAGCTAGAGAGTTTTCATGGACATTTATTGTTTCTTGGGCCTAGAGATCCCCAAGAAGGAAGGAATTGGGTGAAGGGTCAAGTGTGCAGAAGAGTAGGGGGACTAGGTCCAGGGACAGACATATTCATGGCCTCTCTGTCTCAGGCTAAAGAGACTGAGAGAATGCAATGGGCACTGGGAAGGAGCTGAGCAAGTTCCCTGGGCTCCTCTTTGGCCTTTGCCTCGATTCCATCTAGCACAGGCGTGGGCTGACCCTGCTCCGGGCACCTCCACTGGCTTTGCTCCTAGAACTTTGGAGAGGGACGCTGCACATTTTCCTGTCCCAGGAGGTCCCCAAGTAGCAGCCTGGGTTACTGCTGCCTTGAGGGCAGGACAGTGCCAGGCCACACCCAGACAGGCTCTAGACAATGGCTCCGGACCCTCATGCCTCCTCTCCCAGGTGACCTCCTCACCTCCTCAGAGGCTGCTAGGAAGGGGCCTCAGCACAGAGGCAGGGTCTGTGATGGTCTGTGAGAGGGGAGGGGAGCAGGCTCCAGCATGAGCATGCTCCCTTGCCGGCTGGTGTCTTCCACCTGGGGAGGCAGGTCTCTGTCACTATGAAAGCAGGGACTGGTTGGGTTTGCATTATGGGGACTTTAAGACTAAAATAGAGAGTCTTCTGTTAGTGGCAGAGATGAGGAGGAGGCCATGCTGTGTCATGTGTGACCTCTGATCAGGTTGGGAGACATGAGGTCTTTTAGAACACTCTGGAAGGGGAGAGGTAGTGGGCCTGTGTCCTCTGACAAAAGGACCCCCAACTCCAGCTCCTGGCAGGATGCCCAGCAACTTAAGAACAGGAAAATGGACTGGGTTCTCTGTTGGACTGTTCAGGCATTGTCACATGGGGAAATGATGTCAGAGGTGGGACTCTGGGACCTGTGTGCCCCAGACTTCTCCACAGCCACGTACATAGCAGACACTGTTATCTCCCTCACTCTTACATACACACACTCAAAACCCAGAGCATTAGGGAACTCTGGTGGCCTAACCGTAAGAATCTGTGCCGCAATCTCAAAACCCAGAGCAGAAAAGGAGAGAGACCCCATCTGCAGAGCTCCAGGAGCATGCATGGGTGGAACTGTCTTCCCAGGCAAAGACAGCTTGAAGATTTTACCTGACACCAGCTCAGAAGTCTCTGAGGTGGATGGAAAGAGCAGAGGCATGGAAGAGCCAGCCAACCCCTGGTGGAGAGGAGTGAGCCCAGAGCAGGGTAAGAATGTAGCCCAGAGAAGACGACAGGAAAGGTCCCCGAAGAACCCAGGGCAGAGCCCTCCCCGTTGGCACCCTGGCCTCCTCACCTCACTGACTCTGGAGAGAAAAGTGGCCCTGCTGTTCCAGCCCCACTGAGGGTCCAGCCACCGGCTGCATGAACAGCCCCCCCAGCTCAGGGCACTGACCCAGCTTCTCCCATGCCCCACAGGGAGCAGCAAGAACCACGCCTTCACCTCCACCGCCCCACATGCCCATTGACTCCTCTGCATATCTTGGCATGGAAAGAAATAAAGCTGAATACATGCTAACCACCACCACGGGTCTGTGTGTTTGTGCTGTTGGGGCCAAAGGGTTCTAATCAATTAAGGAGGCCAGTGAGGGGAGGGGATGATCAGCTCGTTGAGTGAGTGGAAACTGGGCGCTGGGAAATCCGGACACAGGAGGCTCCTTGCTGACTCAGACCAGGTGATTGTTTTCTGTGGGCTTCAGTTTTCCCAGGTGTAAAACGAGAGGGTAACAGCCAAGTGTAAACCCTTTGTGCCACCCAGGAACATAGAAAGCACTTAACAAATGTTTGGTGAATGGGTTTGATCTCCTATCTGGCCCTGAAGTTGCCTTCTTTTTGTCACATTTTACAGCTCAGACAGAACTCTTTGGAAGGATGGTGAGTTGGCTGTTTGGGGCGAGGGTAGGGATCTGTTTCTCAGGCTGTATCAGGAAACAGGCGGAGTTGTTAACTGTGGAAGGAGGCCGAGGCCTCAGGAGGGCAGGCCACTCGCAGCCTGAGCCAGCGGGAAGGGAAGGACCTGCTCTATGGAGATAGACAGGAGCAGCCCTCACCGAGGCCTATGGCTCCCTCCTCCGTGGTGGTTATGAAATCAGGAGCAAAAGCCCAGGGAGGAGGAAGAGAGGAGAGAAAGGACCAGGGTTGGGCTAGGGCAAGGATCTGCAAGGAAGCAGAGCAGAATGGATAAGTGTATGGTCTCTAGAGCAGATGGCCTGGGTTCAAAGCCCGCCCTGCCACTTTACTAGCTGAGTTCCCTTAATCTCACCAAACCTGGAAACTGAGGATGACAAGAATTCTTGTGAATGTTCAGTGAGACTATGTAAAGTCCTGTGTCCACCTCTTGGACTCTGACTCAACTCTACAGAAACTGGTACTCCTATATATATGACCTCATGTTATCAGATCATGAACAGCATTCTTTCCAAACAAGATCAGCATCCTTGGGCTTAGGACTTCAACATACCTTTTTTGGGAAAAACATTCACTCTGTAACACGAGACCGACCAAGTGATTTCTCTTAGATCAACCCATCTTCCTTCACAAGCTGAGCTGTTGTTGTTACTTACCATCCAGTGCCTAACCGCATTTGTGCAGAGTGAACTCCATGCCACAGGACATTTAAGGCCGGGACCTTTTGGAAGTAGATCAGAACACTTCCTTTCAAGCTACCTCTGGGTGGGTTTGAACTGCTAACCTTTCAGAGTTAAATGCTTTAGTCACTTATACCACCCAGGGTGAACAAACAGAAAGGAAGGAAAGAAGATACTGAAGTGGAGACGTTCGTCATCACTGAGAACCTGTCGCCAGTTCTCACTGCATCACTAGTCAGCCCTACATTAAGTCAGATGGTCCCTCCCCTCCCCTCCACCCCCACATTGAAACGATTGGGCCCTGCCTCCTTTGCCTCTGTACCCGGACATGAGGTATCGTGGTTTACACCCTCCAGAAAGGTTTTTAGCAAAGAATTGTCCCTGCAGTCCTTACCCACCTGCCCCATCCTTACCTCCCTAGGCCAGCTTCTGGTGATTCTGATACCTGTGTCTCTGGCTTAATTTCCTGCAGCGGGATAAGCTTGACTTGTCTCCTGTCGTGAACTGAAGCTGAGCTGGTCCTGACTCAGCAGTGTTCCGCTGGGTTTCCAAGGCTGTAAATCTCTACAGGAGGAGACTTGCCAATGTTTTCCTGAGGACTCCCAACTGCTAACCTACTGATCATCGAGCTGACTCATGGCTGACCCTCCTGCAGGCTTCCAGAGGCAGTGATTGCTCAGGAGAAGATCGTCCATCTAGGATTGTCCCTCCTTCTCCACAGAGCAGCGGTTGCATCTGAACTGTGTGCCTTTGGGTTGGCAATGAATCTCCCTTACCACCAGGCCAGCCAAGCCCTACCTAACTGATTAGCAACCTGATATGCTATGAACATACCAAGCCGCTAGGAATTGGGGATGCAATGATTGGTGTCTTCTCAAAAGTTGCGTTGAAAATATAAAATAGCTCAGTCTTAATTATCTGACATAGTTGCTCAGTGAGCTAATTTAAATCAGACTTTGTTAAGAATCAAACAGTAGAGTGTGTATTCTTCAAATTGCTTCCCCAAAAATGTTGGCTTCTAATTGCCTACCCTTGTGAAACTTTTAAAACTGAAACCTAACCTGTCTTCTTCAGTCAACTTATTCTTGTGAAATGTAGCTATTATGTTTTTTTTTTTTTTCTGCCTATACTTGAAAAGAATAAGTGTTCTGGACTGATGCCATTCTAGGAAAAAAAAAGTTATGTTGAAGTCTTCAGGTCAGAGATGTGATCTTGCTTGGAGAGAGGATCTTTGGGGATTTATCAGTTAACACGAGGTCACACATTAGGGCTGATTGCTGAGAGTCTAACTCATGGTGACCACATACGCGCAGAGTAGAA